TGCAGGATCTGTAGTATCCACCGTACGCCATCAGAATCAAGCTGTGGACAAGCAGAGGTGGCAGGGATAGCGGCATTAGCATACGAGAGCAAACGGCAAAGTCACTTGGGTCACATGGTGGTGCACCACCTTTTCCAACCTGCAAGCAGAATGCTCAACGCTCATATATGAGCTTGTGAGACTTCTTGCACTGGAATCATGACGATGTAGTCTAAACTCCTAGTATCCCTCTACAATACTCCCCTTTCATGTTTAGACTATGGCTCACCTGGCGAAGGCCTCCACAGCTTCCACTCAGAGACAACTACTACAGTATTGCTACAAAGTCGAACAGGTTGCAGAATGACGTGCCTGCTCATGAACTAGATCCCTTATGGGTTTATGGTCCCCCTTAAGTAGATAGAACATGTCGTAATATGGGGATCTCATTTTAATATGCCCAAAGCCATATTCTATCTATCTATCTATCTATCTATCTACTTAAGGGGGACTATAGGGGTTTAGGTGCTACCACTGTCAACTCTTATTGCTACCATGTTGTTCTTGCTATCAGTATCGTCTTTGCTATTGTTGTTGTTACTATTCTCATCATTTTCATCCAGCCTCTGCCAACTACAGCACCCTGGGGCTACCATGTGCAGTATTCATCACATGCGAGCTAGAACGTACACAAACCCTAAGCCCTAAACTATGAATCCAGGATAGCCTTCCCTGGCCGCTGCTATTCATCCCGGGCTTGTTCACTCCAACTGGAAGCATCATATGAGCTGGAGTCTAAACTCCTTACAGGGTGTTATGTAGGAAATTATGTAAGGGACTACTATCGGGGATATTAAGGGGGTTACTAGGAGTTTAGACTATAGCTCATATTTGGGCGGACCATATCCCATAGCCCCTATAAACCCCTACATAAGTGAAGTTCCCATGCCATTTCCACTTTCTTTTCCATTTGCTTCTCCAGTATTGGGGTAATATGCCTAGATAACTCACACCCAACAGTTTTGCGCAAGCTTTCATGCCAAGCCCCCAGGCCTCCGGCCATGTAGTAGGGATTCTGACAGGGACGAACAACACTGCAGGACCATCAATATGCACAATCTCTTTGCTACCTGATTTGTAGTATCAGAGATATAGTCCCCCTAAAGTAGATAGAATATGGGGTATATGGGGATCCTATTATAATATACCCAAAGCCATATTCTATCTACTTAAGGAGGACTATAGAGCTACCGAATACATCATTCTATGGCAATGTTTCAGACTGGGATCAGCAATCCTGAGCTGCTTCATGCACAGATCTTCTGTGCCTGCCTGTCTACTGAGGCCCTAGCCCAGAGGCCGTTGTGGTCATAGAACCCTTCCTCATCAGCAAACGTCGCACTCAAAGCTCCACACATTGCTCGGGATATGGAAAGAGCCGCTTAAAAAGCTTCATGCAGAACAGGGGCATAGCACTTGTGCTCGTCTTCATCCCACCAGCCGACGATGTCCTGCTTCCCGATTTTGTACTTCTTTGCCAAGCCTTGGAAGGCAGGTCTGTTACTCTTGAGTGGAATATCCTTAGCATGAGAACATCAAAAATGGCGCGCACAGGTTTGAAACGCATGCATGCCAGTCCTGTCCGAAATGTATATGTGCGACGTGGCAACCTCGTCCAACCAGACACTGCAAATCTGCGATTCCAAGGTGCCTCAGTACTACTTGTACTCTGACTTTCCTACAGTTCTTCTTCTTCTTACTGTTATTACTACTACGACTACGACTACGACTACGACTGCTACTACTACTACTACTACTACTACTATGACTATTACTAGTACTAGTACTAGTATTCAAATGATGGCTGCCAAGGCGCACTTCTTTTCGTGCTCTATCCTGACAGCCAGGCATCTGCAGAGGCCATCTAGAGACGCCTTGGAGACCTCTGAACCAAGGACAGTGCACAGGGTTGAGGGTTTAGAGTTATCTTGCACCCACCGTTGTGCACTCAGCGTCTGTTTGATGTGTCATTTCTTTACATTGTAGACAGCACTTTCCGTTATGAAGCTTTGCAAGGCCCACTGTCTGACATGGCTTTCCAATGGAAGGCTTCGAGGATTGAAATGAAGCGCGCAGCTAGTATTCTCAACCAATAGGGGTTATTGTCTTCATCCTCTTAATGTCCCCCACGAGCACAACTACTAGTCTTCTCTGCGTCTCCATTCTCATTAATCACCAGCATTGCTCCTATGCTCCAACTTTATCACCTTTAGCTGCAGCCAGGTACCACTTCATGCGCTCTCGTCTCTTCTTCTCGTGCAGGCGAATCCCTTCCTTTGGAAAGCCAGGCATGTATTTGAAGCAACATATGTCGTGGAAAAGATAGTGATGCAGTCAAGCAAAGACGGCGAGTTCGTCCGATTTGGAGGCACCCCTGTGCATGCATCTCTGTTCTCCGAAATTGGGTTTACCGCGATGCGAAATTGTAGCACCAACTGCTAAAAGCAGGATCTTACCTAATTCCACTCCGCACAGACACATACATACAAAAGATTTAAAAGGCCTCGTCTCCCGGGTCCTCTCAAGCAGTCTCACTGAATGAATTCTCGCCATCTTTCGCTAAGGTCCCAGCTGGAGTGCACCGATCCTCAGCAATTTCAGCTGCTGAATGTCTCCGTGTAACTGCAGACCTGGGCCTTCGGGAATCATACTCGTTCTGGAGCTGTGCGAGGGCATCTGGAAGGAACGAGGAATCTGGAACAGGCCCTGTAAGTAGCTCAAGAATGTTCCTTGTGCCCGTTCCGGGACAAAAAAGATTTTGACACACTGTAATCGTGCAAGTTGGCGCAAGCCACTGTTTGCATAGGCAGCAGCCAACTGCAGCCGGATCACTTCTAGCATCTTTGCTGCCGGCCCAGTGCGATAGGTCTTGGAAGGACCTTGAAGGAGGAAGTTCTGCCTGACAGCCGGCTGAGCATGACTTGGGAATAGGATCGGCTAATTCCCTGTGGTGAAATCATAAGTCCGGACCCAATTGCGAATCGGCGCATTGTCAGACCCGGCATTGCTTCACAAGTTGGCGCCTCAGGATATCGCGCACAAAGCCTCAGATGCATTGTACTGGGCTTTGACCATTTTTTGTTTAACGTTTAGGATTGGTTCGGTATGCACAAAGGAGCTCTTGAACATGGAGTTGGAACTTGCCTACGAGGTTCTGATGCAGAGGCCATATCATTGAGAGGGTTTGCTTCGCAACTCCAAAATTCGCCGAACAAGGTCGCTGATGCAGCTGCGGTGCTGTTCGTCCGGCGGCAATCGAGGCTGAGATCTTCCTGAGAGCAGGTTAATAAAATGTCAGTCTTTTGGGGGTCACCATAATAAGGCTGTATAGTCCCCCTCAAGTAGATAGAACATGGCTTTGGGTAGATTATAATAAGATCCCCATGTACCCCATATTCTATCTACTTAAGGGGGACTATAGTATTTGGGATCTATGTTCCCTTATTCATTTATGGAACAGGAAAAGATACCCTGTAGCTAGACAGAAGGGAGAAACTGATTAAGCCCCTGCAGAGTCTTCTCCGATAGTTCTCTTTGCATGGCAGAGGCGGGAACTGCGCGAAAAACAACAAAGCCCAGTGAATTGCCAGCGCAACTACCAGGATGGGCTATTAGACCTTAAAGTGCCCTTAATCTACCGTTCTTATGGTACGAATAGGGAATTCTAGGATCTAAAAGCCCATACTGGTAAGAAAGCTAATCGAGAAGCTGGGATTGCAAACCCGTGTGCTCGCATGCAGTCAGGCTGCCATGTTGGACGGATCCCGCTCAACAGCTGCAGCAAAGGCCCAAACCTGTTGGCTTCTGTCGACTATAATATACCGTAATATACCATAGTTTACTATAATCTACGATAATATACAATAATGTACTATAATATCCCATTACATAGGTATGTGCATTTGCAAGTCAGGGAAGCGGCTAGATCTGTGACTAAACCTTCAAGCTGCTTTCCGCGTGGCCTTTACTTGGTCTGCGAGAGGCCTCTCTCACGTACAGGGGCTATATTGGAGTTGTATTAGGGTTATATTGGCGTTATATTGGGGTTATTTAGGGGTTATATATAGGTTATATCAGGGTTACATCAAACTAGAGGTTCAGCCTGAGGGTCAGGGCTTTGGCAAGCGTGGAGTTGAGGTTTCTGAGCCTGATCCTCCTTGACAGATGTTTGAACTGACACAGGGTTTAGGGTTTAGGGTTTAGGGTCTGCGTAAAGATTTCCTCGTCACTGTGTTGTTCTACACTGCCAAAATCATCACCACACTTATGGAAACGCGGTTCTTACAGAATGACACAAGAAAGGACATGTTGTCTCTGAGGGTCAGGCACGTACAGTCAGGTACCAGACTTTTCAAGTACTGGAGAGCGGGTAGTTTGCAAGACAGCGCAGGCCTGATGCGCCACACGTGCAACAGAGCTTCACCCTGAGGGTCCAAGTAATTACCCGAAGGATGGGGATCCAAGTGCCAAAATACTAGAATCTGACAGGTTTGGTAGTACCTAAAACCCCAGCAAGTGGGCAAGTGGACCCTGAGGGTCATGCAAAATCCCTGCAAAGCCCGAGGGATCTCTTGGATCCCTTGGATCCCGGGGAGCCTGGAGTCTTCAACCCTCAAACTCAATTGAACCAGAATTAATTACTGGGTTGGCCCCTGAAACCCTCTGAAAAGTATTAGTATATAGGGTCCCCTATTAAAGCCATTAGGGAAAACAAAAATATCCCAGGGGCCTACTCAGATTAACAAACAACGGGCCTTAAAACCTCCATTCCCAAGAGTCAAGGCTACGTGCATGCTGCGCTTTAATGGCTGAGTTCCCTGCAGGTAGGCACCAATGCCGGCGACCTGTTCCAGGTCTGTACCCGGAAACATCCGCCTTGGCTACTTGCGCAGAAGCTAGACTGTGGTTCGCGAAGCTTTCAAGCTCAAACCCATCAGCTATATCAACCCAATTTCCATGTCATGTTCCATGTTCCTTTCCCATCACCCCCCGATATACCCCTGAATAATTCCTATACCCCTATATTCTTATAGCCCTGTAAGGTCCATAATTACCTCTTCACCCTCAACCCTCAGCTGCTTGAAAGCCAAGCCGCAATATCCAGGCCGTCCTCAAGGCCCAATGCAAAATCAAATGGAAAGCAGAGTGGGAAATGACATGGAAAGCAGATTCAAGGGACGTATATAGGCATATATGGGGATACTCACCCCATAAAGGAGAAGAAAATGGAATATGACATGGAAACTGGATTTGTCTATACGACCCAGTGAGATAACTGCTGAAGTTACGATGGTTTCATATTGCTTCTAATTAATTGCAATCTATGAACTCGAAAACACGTGCAGGTCCTCAAACTTCGACATCTCTCTGAATTCCTTGCCTCGGCAACACAGAAAACAGATGCTGCAGAACACTTTAGCAAAGTCCCAGTGCAAGTTGTCAACATGCAGCCTTGCTGGTGCAGCAGTACGTATGGCACCAGGTGGATGCGCCATATAGATGCCCCAATTGTTCAGGAAACTCGAAAGCCGTAATCCATTTGCGCTTCTGACATGCTGAGTGCTTGACTGAGAATCACGCAGACGCCCTGACAAATTCGTGGACTGGCTCAATGTAAAACTGAAGTCTCACCTGGCCTGCTGATGCACATCTCGAGGGCTGTAGCTACAGAAGCCGCTGCCATCCCATCCCATGGGCGAATCAAGGCTGCCTGCAATGCATTGCTATCCTGCACACCACAGGCTCTGTGCAGCAAATCTGAGGCAAGCCACAATCTTAGATCCCATGTTATGAGACAGAAGGCACATGGGTGCTTGTCAAAATTACGGTCCCTTTTTGGGTACACTGAATATTAGGTGCCGTATTATGATAGGGATCCAAAAAGGGACCCATAATTTTGACAACCACCAATAGAACCCACTATAGTAGTTTCCATGTTCTTTTCCATTATCCCTCATATAACCCCAATATAACCTCTAATATTACCCTAATGGGTACCATAATTTTGACCAACCACCCACATAAGGAATCAGCCAAGCTGCTTCGACATAGCTCCTTGGCTGAAATTCCGTGGATGAAGCCGAAAGATCGACTGAATGGACATGCTGTCAGTACTCTAAGGGATTTGGAACCC